ATATAATATAATTGTGAAATAAAAAATAATAAATAAATAAATAATTCTAATAGTAAGATTCTAGAGTTTATTAATATAGTTTTGATTAATTTATATATTTAAACAATTACAGTAGTTTTAAAAATAAGGTTCTAAAGTTTATTAATATAAATTAAATTAAAAAAATTAAAATAACCATATATATCAAAGATTTTTTTTTTATATAATTTTAACAAGTAATCTTAATTTCATAATTGATAAAAAGTTAAATATCTTATTTTCTTTCAATTAAATCTATAATTATTCTTTGATGCTTTATTTAAATTGTATATTTATAATATTTGTAATATATTTTGATAAAATAATTGACTTACCAATTATTGATAATAATTAAGTTAAAATCAAAATATAAATTTAGTAAACAATATAAAATTGTTTTTCAAATAAACTTGATAAAATCTTCTATACTATCAATCTTCTAATTAATAATGGTAATAAGATAGCACAACTTAATTGAATTAAAAAAAATTTTTTTATTATTTCAAAATGTAACTAGAAAAAATTAAAATTATAATATTAGATTATTATATTTTTTTTATTTTTTTTTTTATACAGGTTCAATTTTAATATCACTTCTCGACGTATAAACTTTATAATCAGATAGTGTTTTATTTGCAAACAGAGAAACCAGAAAATGTCCACTGACTTTTTACCACCATCTATATATATTCAAAATATTACTTTAAAGAAACTTTATATCATTACTCAAGTGCAACAATTTGGGAAAGATGCTTTGAGAGTGGACCATGGTGAGAAAGGTATTTTACATAAGCACCATCAGGTTGTAAAAGACCGGCCTGTCGTTTTTCAGCATATTCTTCCCGTGATAATTTTGTAAATCCCCATTTCTTTGATACCACAATTTTTTGGCGACCAGGGAATTTGTACTATTTTGAATAAAATAATTAATAAGTTTATTTGAATTACAAAATTCTTTATAATCGATAGGTGTGAATGTAATACCTTAGCACGTCTAAGTGCTTCAATGACAGTATCCTTGTTACCCTCTTTGGTACGCACGGAGAAAATG